CATCCATTTTATATAGTGCCTGTCCTCATTAAGATTGCGAGCAAGCTCTCGCCTATTCCAGGTGACTTAGGGCGAAATGCACACACTGGACTGATCACCAAACAATCGTAGTAGCAGTGAGAGTTGCCTTTCAAATGAATCCAAGTAAATTAGGGACATATACACACAAATAAATGATACGCTTTCTCCTCACAACAGGTACGAATCCATTTGACTGGTGCTGTTTTGCTGTACTTTACATTAGGAGTGTACGATGCAATAAGCCAGATGACCGCATTTGAAGGCGAAAAATACAATACATCAATATGTCTCTGCGTGGTTGTCATGATCATCTCTCATTATTCCACAAAAAATGAATTTTGTGTGTGTTTGTCTTTGTAGGAGCTCTTCACAGCAGAGTGCAAATTTAAAGAGTCCGTGTTCGAGAACTACTATGTCATCTACTCATCCATGTTGTACCGACAACAGGAGTCGGGTCGAGCCTGGTTCCTCGGTCTCAATAAGGAGGGTCAAGCCATGAAGGGGAACAGAGTGAAGAAAACCAAACCAGCCGCTCACTTCCTGCCCAAGCCATTAGAAGGTAGTTATGTTTTGAAAGCTACAACGTGAAGTAGCCTACATATTAAATGCAATACAAAGTACCTGCCTTTTTTAAAAAATGACTACAATAGCATCTCAAGTGTAACTGTTAACAGAAATGGGAGAGGGGATTTGGGACAGGAGGTTGTTTGTTTGGCCAACCACATTATGGCAAACATCATTTTCTGAAATCAGCAATGTGTACTCTGGCCAGCAGAAGTTGGCCAGTGGCAATAAGTGGCCTGTATTGTGAAAAGGCAGTCCTGTTAGCAACCAGTTAAATCCTTCTGGGAGTGGGAGGTTACTTAAATCGTCACTCATACAGGTAAAAAAAAAAAGGAAAAAAAAAAAGAAAAAACAATTTCTCAATCCTTAGTTGGATGGCTTTTTGATTGTCTCATGGAAACTGTGTTGGTCAGAGGTTTCCAACATTCCCTGTACCACGGAATGTTCACATGAGGACATTTTGACGAACAACCGTTTTGGCTTTTAATTTTGCCTTTTAAATGAACTAACCTTATTCCATCTCTTCTCGCATCCCCAGTCGCCATGTACCGAGAGCCATCCCTACACGACGTCGGAGAGACGGTACCCAAAGCGGCGGTCCCGGCCAGTAAAAGCACAAGTGAGCCAGTGGTGATGAACGGAGGTAAACCTGTAAGCAAGCCTGACAAACCCGCCACATAGCCACGCCCCACCTGCCCCCTTGACTGTTTGCTGTTTGCCGGGGTGATGGCGGAAGGTTTTTTCCCCCTTGCTGGAGCGTCTTTCCTCGGTGGATCCAGGCGAACCTTTCTTCTCCCTCTCCTCCACGTTTGTCTCTGCCTTGTCCTCACCCTTTATTCCAGCTGTCTGGTGGAGGGATTCTTAGGTTGAGGCTGGGGGAGGGTGGTGGAGGATTTCCTCAGTACAGGAGGACAATAACGGACCTCTCTGATACTGGAATGCCTTTAAAAATTCCTCTGGAACTGTGAGGTTGTGGTGTGAACATGTGTTTTACAGCCACTTTGATTCCTGAGGGTTCATACAAAAAAAAAGCTCAAAAAACAAAAAAAAACAAATAGAAATTAAAAAAAAAAAAAGTTCCCTTCTTTGATGCCCTACTACAGAGGAAGTCTGTGCACCTGCAGACCTATTTTCTATACCACGGTTCACCAGCTATGTTCTGGGATAGCGGCTGTATAGATAGAATAAATATGTGGACGACCGTCCTTTATTTTTCAATGAGTATTTTCCCCTTCCTCTCTTCTCTTTTCTAGAACCACTCACACAATTTCCACTTTGGCCCCAGAAACACGCGTAAAGGACTCCATACAGACACATGAAAACAATAGGATATTGCGTTTTGTTTTTTTGACAGCACCTGCACTTGGTGATGGAGTGCTAGTTACCACCACTGCAAAAATCAGTGCAATGGGGCTCTCCTCGAAGAGATTTGTAAATAAAGGATGTGGGCGGCAAAAGTACTGTATGGGAATGATGTCTACATACCACACAAGTCCAACCAAGCTGTAGTTCAGCGGCCCACCTTCTTTGGTAAATCTATTTTTCTTGAAGTTTATTTCTGAGCGTGGGCTGTAGGAATATCTCTCGGTCTTGTGGGCCTCCGTTTGCCGACTCCTTGAACTTCTTGGACTCAAGACTTTTGGCCGAGATAATCTGTCCGACATTGGCAGCCAGCCCTTCCGCGGCAGCATCCACAACATTTTCAACATTTACCGGCTGCATCTACAAACTAAAGCATGGGCAAGGTTGATCTTGTGTTCTGTCTCTCTTGCAGCAACAACATCATGTATATTGTAACATTTTCATTGCACAGTATAACGGTTCAGGGGGGGAAAATTACTCAAAAGACGTTTTTAAACAAGTAGGTTATTATTCAAGAGGAATCGTGTCCTAGCTCAGCATGCAGAGTCCAGTACTGATCATTCTGGCCTATCACGTGCCTGTTTTCAAACTCGATTTTTCCCGGCATGCAAAAACCGGTTCCCAGTCCCCACTGGGCCAAAGGTGCCTCGCCCACCCAACCGCCTACTCATCCATTTACAGGACACGTAGCATCGATAGCATAGCGAGAATCACCCTGCTCACTCTTAAATGACCAAAGGCCCCCCCCCCCTCCCCACCCCACACCTACCAGGAAGATTCTTGGAAAATCCTCTCAAGTCATCAGCGCTTTCACTGTGATAGCTTTTCATTTCTGAACCCTTACGAGATCTTTGCGTGACCGCCGCCCTGCTCCACTACTCCTTGGAAAGGTCTTAACGATGTCATTTTTGCAGAGGTTTGTCTACCTTCAATTAGTCACGTGCATGTACTTTCAGAGGTGTCGGGATATACGCACTGTAGTGTAGGACTTGACATGGGCATGTTGCAGGCTACGGCACCCTCACGAGCTACTCTGCACTTTCACCTTGTTACTCTCGTCATGACTGTTAGCAGATGATGACCAATCCTTGACATTTGTCTCGCTTTTATCGGCTTTTCTGACTTGTTCTATTTCATTCAGGTTAAGAAATGTAAATTTTTTTTTACGTTTATCAGAATAAGATACGATTTTAGTTTTGATTTGCTAGTATGAATAGATGCAAGAGCTAGAAAGCATTGTTAATGTTGTTTGGGACTGTGTCTGTATAAATTCTCAGTCATCCAGGTCATGGCAATCCACAAATAGTTGAGGAGAAGGTAATTGGACTTCTAGAAGAATTCTAGTTGCCGTCTACTACACTTTAAAGACAACTAGACCTCTTTCTTGTTGAACTGGACTCCTATTCAACTTTGAAAGGCAACTGGACAAACCTTCTGTTGCCTGGTATTCAACTTTGAAGAAATTGAATTTCACAACCGTACCAGCTATTTTTCATTCAGTTTTGGAGGAAACCAGACTTCTTCTCAGTTGAGCTGGACTCCATTGCCGTTTATTTAACTATCAAGGAAGCTACAGTAGACTTATTCATGGAAGTAGACTTTGAGAACTTTGAAACAACCAAGAAGTTAGTTGCCTTCTATTAGACTTTGAAAGCAAATTTTAGTTGTTATCATCGACCTCTATAAAACTTGGAAACAATCAAAAAGAAATATAGTTGCACTAAATTCCACTAATACACGAAGAAGAAGTCCAGTTGCCTTCTGTTTAACTTCGAAACAACAAATTACTTCTGCTTGGTTGCTGTTCTGGACTTCTATTCAACTTTGACAGTCCAATTGCCTTCATTTCAACTTCAGTGGCAATTTCACTGCCAACTTCAATTTTGTAAATGGCTACGATGTTAAAAGTATGTTTGGATCCACCTCGTCCCTTTACTTTCTGCCATTTTCCTAATACGGGTCAACTCCGTTCATTATGTCTGGCGCATTGCACTTGCATGTACTTCTTTATTATAAATCATTTCGTCGCTTTTTGGTTTTTTTTGTTTTTTTGGCATGGTGGAGAAAGGTGTTGACAAACAGCATGTAACGTAGGATAAGTCTATCCCCAACTGTTGGTATGTATCGCTGCATTTATTTTTTTTAAGAAACTACGTATATGCATAGAGTTTGTCTGATGCATTCATGCATATACAACACATTAAATGTTTATGTGAGAGAGTGCTGTAAATTTACTATGTAATGTTCAATAGAGTGTGTTGTATATTTTTGAACCAGGTAGAGAAAAAAATTATGTTACTGGGATTATGAAGGAGTATTAGGAACACACTGAAAAGAAGAAAAACATTATTCAAATTAAAGCGTACGAAACTTTACAACACCCTCAATAGTCATTATGATACATTCATTCTTGCATAGATATTTTCAAAAAATATTCCCGATCATTATGACTTTATTCTCTTTGACATGATGACTTTTTTTCCTCATGAAAGTACGTCTTTGGTCTTGCGAGAATAAAACCTCTCTCTGAAAAAAATACGATTGTCGTTGCATGATTTTGTTCCTCTGTTCTTATAAAACAAAAATACGATCAATTCCTTTAACCTGATGTGCTTCTTTTCAGTGTGACCTAATACTCATTTGTTAATAATAAAAAAATAAATAAAATTTAAATGGGGAAAAAACTTTTGTCATTGGTTGTGGCACTTTATGGCTAAAAGGGTTGGAAAAAACCCAAAACGTTTCAACAATTTGGTATTTATCCTTACCTCGTAGGGTCCTGAGCCAAATCCCATCAAAATCGTAAATGCTCCTCTGAATGGGTGAAGATTCTCACCTGAATGGACACTGTTGGAGATTCAAAAGGGCACGCACTCCATATTAAATTTCATTTTCACTTGCGGTTTAATGGCCACTTTCCAAATTCTTTTGCGCATATAACACATGTATGTCCTCTCAATTTTCTCCACTCGAGTCTGTGAGGAATATCCATACCTGGAAGTCTGAGTCTCGTTTTTTTTTTGTTTGTTTTTTTGTGAAGGTTAACGAAAGAGTCACTATTGAAATGATTTATTTTTTTAAAAACAAATATGTAACACTATATACCATTGCAAGTATGCCCATTTGGAGTTATGTCATGTTATAAACCAAATTTGTAACCATGTATGTATGTTTAAGGTCTTCACATTGTTTTCCATGCAAATTGTCGTGTCATGCGGCATATTTAATGTTTTATTTAAAAAAACAAAACAAGAAAGTAAAAAGAAATAAAAATGCTCAAACAATGCAAACTGTCTGCCTCCATTGCCTCATTTGTCTTAGTTTGTCAACTTGCATCCGATTTTGCATATCAGCGGAATAAGTGTGTGATTAAAAAAAAAAAAAAATAGTGAACCGAATTTTACAAAAAAATAGCTTGGAGCCAGTATAATACAAGAAATAAAACCAAGTCCATGTTTTGCTTCTCCAAGCTTTGATTCCTTGTTGCTTTTGAGGGTCTCAGTACTCGGCCCCCACCCAGATTTCGCACGCGTTCCCGGTCCAGCCGTCCCAGCACTCGCAGGTGCCGCAGTTGCACAGTCCGTTCCCTGCAATGATGTAGAATAGACAAGCTGTGAATGACGAGGATAAAGGAAACAAGATATCTCTTTTCACAACATGACCCTCTCTGGGAGCATCACTTGGATGTCACAAGTCTCACGGGGAAGAAACCAAATATGGGGGTGTTATTTCCTTTAGTGAAAGAAACTGCTCCAAAAAAATCATGGGAATTACATTGTGCTGTTTAAGTGTTCCTTTAATTTTTTTAGCGCAAGATATTTTATTGGTAGGTTTTCTTGTTGTCATTTCATTTTTGGGCCAGATAAATCACAATTTTTTTTAGGGCTCTCCAGTTCTAAAAAAGTCCCTATAGTTTATTGATGTGTTCAACATGATTAAAATTCACAAGGGATTTGAGGTATGACCTTCGAAAATTGCTTAAGTTGCACTCCCTGGAATTTTTGTGAAAACTCAGCCTTTGAGGCCTGTTCAATTTTAGGAAGGATCATGGATTTTTGTATTCTCTGGAATTTTCTTGTTGTCTGTCATAGACGTAGACCCACAAGAAAGTCTCCAAAACCTTTGTATGAAAACACAGGCAGCCTGTATTTTGGTTTGAAACAGGATTTTTTTTCTGGGCATTTTGGCTATGATCAGTTGTCGCTCAAAGTCAAACTTTCGTCGAGATATTTTGGCCAATTGTTACCAAATGCTAACTGAGGACTTTGGTACTGCAGCGTCCAGAACTATGGTATGTCATAACTGTAGGCTAACATTAGCACTTGTATTTGTACTTTTTTTGCCACGTATCCTCAAAAGTTACAGTGATGAATTTGCTCAACCAATGAGTGACTAGCTCTGGGTAACCGCCCCATATGGCATTGGCTTCCTAGAAAAGTAGCTAAAAATGAACTTGATAGCCTCTCCTTTTGCCAAAGGAAAATTGAGCGCAAGATGCAGTATGTCAAGCAGAGTAGGCACCGTTCAGTGGAAAAGGGCCGTAGCACACGCAGTACAGCACTTTTTGAATAAAATCCTTGGACATTTAAGATCAGCTGGTGTACCTGTGCAGACAAGGTCATCATGTTTGTCACACTCTCTGTCATCACACTCGCAGTACTCTCCAGACACCCACCAGTCCTTGGTGGAACAGATACACTGGCCGCAGTGACAGGAACCTGCAACATGCCAAAATATATGAGAGAGAGTTCAATTCCATCTTTATTTTGCTGTAACTAATGCTCTCTTCTGATGGTGTTGATGCCCACGATGCACTTTGCAATAGTTTATGCTCCTTCATTTTTAATTTTTTTTTTTTTAGAGGGGAAGGGAAGGGGGCAATGTTTGACATTCCCTCATTATTTATGCCACATTAATAATGCCCCCTCTGCTCCTTAATTTGCCGTTGTTAATGTTCCCTCTTCATTTCGCAATCGTTAACAACCTCCCCTCTCCCTTGTTTTCCTATTTTTGATGTTCCCTCATTATTTCAGAATTTGTGACGGTCCTTCGTTACTTTGCCGTTGTTGACAATCCCTTCTTATTTTTGCGTTGTGGATGCTCCCTCATTATTTTTCAATTGAAGACCTTCCTACTTTGTTTTCAAATTGACATTCCCTCGCTTAATTTGTAAACAATGATACATTCTTCTTATTTTGCCATTGTTTACAGTCCCTCTTAAGTTTGGTTATTATCTGGATCAAAAATATCTTGTAAATATAACACAACACAAATAAGAGTGTTTTTTTAAACAATGGTGACAAATTTGACTGAATAAAATATTGCCAAGTATAGAAAATCATTAAATATAGAGTCTGTCTTTGAGCTGAAGAACGGTGTGTGCATGTCCGCTGAGGGCAGTAAAAACATGCCCTGCTCGAACTTCACATGTCAACAAATACATTACTTCATACAATATATGCCTAAGTGTATGCAGTCAGTTTCTGCTTCCGCCATGTCTAGTATTGTGCATCATCCACCCGCCGATTTTGAAGAGATTGAGATGAGTCACGTCATGTTCACGTCCGCAATGGTGCAAACTACCCGTTTCTAACTGTGCCAAACTGTGTGCGTCTGTGAATACACCAATACTTGTGTATGTAGCCTACCCCTTTTCCACTGTTAGATCGCATTACATGGTACACTGAGGGTTGGCACAAATATAGGACCCGGTGTCCATAGTTACGTAATTTTAACACTCCCTTACTTGGGAATGCCTGACTTCCATTCTTTATTCTGTGATTTTTGAAGCACCTTCCTACTTTTGACACACACTAATTTTGAAATGATTCACTCTACCTCAAAATGTTTTAATCGTTAACTTGACATTCCCTGCAAAGTACCCGAGCATAATAAAAGTGAATTTTGCAGGACCCCTTAGAAACATGGCTTGTACATATTACAATTAGTGTTAATATTGTTGAATTGTAATAAATGCAAGTACCATTACCAGCCTTATTTTAAGGTATCAGATACTCAGTGAGGCTGCTGATACCAGCACGATACTTAAGGGAAAAACAAATAATAATAAGTCCTCCTTGGCAATAGCTGGTGCAATAATGTAACAGTTTCACAAATTGGCACTTATCATCTGCTGGAGAAAGAAACATCTTTGTTCACCCTTTTTTGCCATTGTCTGAAATTAAATTTTATATATGAAAAGTATTGGAGGAATCGGTACTCTGCATCAGTGAGTGAATACTCCAACTGGTATCCGTTTGACAAAAAAATGGTATTGAACATCCCTCGTAAATGATCTAAGACATTAACATTATTATTGTTATTATTCATATACGTTACCTTTGCCACTGCAGAGGACTCCATCGGCAGTCTCGCACTGCTCCTTGCTTTGGGCGTCACTTATATCACATGACCTGGGGAAGCGGCACTGTTTGCCAAACCAACCGTCCTCACAAATGCAGCGTCCACACGAGCAGTAACCGTGACCTGGTGACAGAGGGCAGACGGTCTATTGGCTTACAGGAGGAATAATATGAGGCAGGGCCAGGATAAAATCAATAACCTTTGTTTCCACAACATACAGCGAATAGAATTGACTATTTGACCACAGATTGCACAGATTTTTCTGCAATCTCAATACATTAGACCTAAGCTCAGTCAGCACACTGAGTTAATTATTTCAGAAGGGTACTTGTGATGGGAAAGTAAAAAAGTGTGATGACCATAGAACAAGAACAAAAACTCGTACGATTTAAGAGATTGGTAAACATCTGTTCTGACTATCAGATGAACTGATTAGTTAACTAGTCGCCGAGTTAGTGATACTTAACTTCCGGTTGGCATGTAAACAAATGATGACAACACGTGTTAACGTGTTAAAACCTGTTCTCCAAGTGTTCACTACACATCTGCAAAAATATCACTACTTGGTCTAGCCTAGCCTCTGGGCAGATTACTTCACATGAGATGTTCACCGAGCATGAAAATTTTGCCCTTGTTGATGACGTTTACCTCCTCTAATTTTTCAAGTGTTGATACTCCCTCATTGCTTTCTAAACACTTACACTGCCTACTTATCGTATTTTGCATTTGTTTACGTTCTCTGAGTCAGGATGTTGTATTTCTATTATACATAAAGTAGTTAACTAATTTGAACACTTGTATGACAGGTGAGTTTTAAAAATATCCTTAAGATATGTTCCAACAGATATTAAATTTAAAAAAAAAGGCTTGACACTGAAAAGGGCCCTTTCTAATTCTATTATTTCCTATGAGCAAGATGATTCTAAATACAACCTAACAAAACAACAAGAAGTCACAAGTAACATCAGCATGTGATGTTCTGAAATTAAAAGCAGAGACCTGTCTCACTTTGCAGCAGTAGCCACGCATGGCTGCCTCAATCAGTCAGGGCACGGAGGAAGAGTCATTGATTTAGAGCGACGGAAGCAGCGTGTTAGTTCAATTAGTTTCCGCCTTGCCTCGCACAGAGCACAGTACCACACATACTTACTATGCATCTTATAGGCTGGTTTGATTGACAGGTCAGTGTATGTGACAAAAGAACAAATAAATGGTTTAGTGTGACGAAGAGCGTACCAAACATTCTTTGATGATAGATTCAAGCCAAGTCCCCCTCCTTTCTTGTCGTTTCTCTGCACAACTTGATAATACATACATACATACATACATCTTCCGAACCGCTTGATCCTCACTAGGGTCGCGGGGGGTGCTGGAGCCCATCCCAGCTGTCTTCGGGCAGTAGGCGGGGGACACCCTGAATCGGTTGCCAGCCAATCGCAGGGCACACAGAGACGGACAACCTAGTCTTTTTGAAATTTCGTGCGTGTGTGCACTCACCCCCGCACACCTCCCCTGAGAGGTCCTCACACTGTCGGTCGTCACACTCGCAGTTCTTGCCATGAACTCGACTGTCCCCAGGTGGGTGACAAGTACATTGTCCACACTGGCACTGACCTACAAAAGATAAACAGACAGAAGATGGTCTATTCCCACCTCGATCTCTTTTGTGACTAAAGTGTTGGTAGCATGTATAGAAAAAGCATGTGTTTGCACTTAACACTTGTGTACGTAGCTGAGTTGCAAAGAACAGGTAAAGATGAATGTTTTTGGAAGGATGAAAAGCTCTGCAAGTAGTATTATGGTTATTGAGTCTAAAATGAAATGAGTGGTGACATGATAGAAACAGCAGCTTATGCTTTCTTTTAAATGTGAGCAACCCCATACGTGACAAGGACAACATCAACATGTTATTTACTACTCTTATAGCGAGTGGTGTATTGAGATGACCAACAAAGCATACCAAATAGGATTTTGGTGGTTAATTTCGTTGTTGTGAAATTACAATCAGTGCATAAATGGTCAATAAATATATACAATCAAGTACACCATTCTGCAATTGGCTGGCAAACACTCCAGGGACAAGCACTATAGAAAATGGATGGAAGTTACCTACTCTTAATATTTATCATCTGCAACTGTATAATTATCATGCACATGTCAAAATAATTTAACCACTTTAAAGGAAAGAATTTTAGAACACTCTACATTCCTATTGATTAGAAAAAAGACAAAAAGTAGTCCTTCTTGTATGTAGCCTCGTTCAGCATTGTTCCTGCAACTTTTTTTCCCTTGATATCAAATGTCGGTAATATCAACCGATGGCACACAATGATCCACGTGACAGCATCAAAGCCAATTCACTTGTGCCTTGATGCATTATCACTTAAAGGTCATTCTGAAATGGCTACAATTGATAATGCCGCGTGATTGGTGGACTTGACATTCAGTAGTTCAGCAGCTGACCAAGTGTACCCAATAAAGGAGCAATAAAGGTGCAATAGGATACAGCACACTGCATATATTTATATTTATGGGTGCACCAGGTATGCTAGCACCTTTTTAGAAGTGAAATGGAAATAGCCATCCATCCATCCATGTGTTTGGGCAGCAAGTGGTGTACACCCTGAACCGGTTGCCAGCCAATCGCAAGGCACACGTCCCATAAAAGGTTTTCACATTTCTGAAACATTATTTGTTGCTTAAAGGTTCCGCCATGGAGCTCGGTAAACATTTTGGAGTTGTACATTTTCCCCCCCCCCCCCACACACACACACACGCACGTGCACCCACTCGCACACACACACATCCTCAGACACATTAAGCGTGGCACCATCTGTGCAAGGGAGTCAGTTGCCCTGGCAACCACTGATGTCATAGCACCCTTGCCTTATCGATTATATCTGCCTGTCAAACCATCCACACCTGGAAAGAGAGAGAGAGAGAGAGAGAGAGACAGAGAGACAGAGAGAGAAAGAGGGAGTGTGTGTGTGTGTGCGTGTGTGTGTGTGTGTGTGTGTGTGTGTGTGTGTGTGTGTGATTTGTCACATTTTCTGAACAGGACACATCAGGCAAACGTTGCCAAGAGACAATTTTGTTTTCATGGATAACTCTGCAGATGCACGGCACTAACTGAGGGTGGTTGAGAACTCGGCAAATTAAATTTTGCCATTTTGAGTGTGGTGACACAAGGTCAGTTACTGGGCAGCATACTGCATCTCGCAGAAACAGAAGGGTGGAAAATGTGCAGCATTTTAAAGCTTCGAAAGATGACCTATTAGTCACAGTGCCAGGTGCCAATGAAAGAAGCGGAAGGTCAACATCGATGCAAGCAACAATGGAGGACACGCAGCCTTATATGAATACAATGGAGAGAACACACATTGTGTACCAAAATGTGTCAAGCTGAACATAATTGTACCTATTCATGTTGATGCTGTGATTGAGAGTAGAGTCTCGATGCTTGCCAGGTTCTTGTAACTATTCTTATTCATCCAGGTCATTTCATTCTCTGGGTATCCAACAGTCATAAAGATGCCTAGTTAGAGAGGCCTCTGTCCATCAATAAGTCGTGGGTGGGAACTCCCTCATTGCTATTCCATTCAGTTGTGGTGGAGCTGCTTCTGCAGTCTCTGATGATTGTTTTTGTTTGTTTGTTTGTTTGTTTTTTGGAGACAAAATCTTTTGAGTCTCTTTGGGTTCCATGAAATAATGACATTGAATGTGGTGGATAGGTAGTGTCGTAATCCACCTTCTCTGTTTAGACATGTTTTTTCCATCTTCATGTAGATGGCCTTTCTGTGGTGGTGTAGCTTGAAACCCCAACAGACCTGAGTTCATAGTACTGCTCGGCAGAGTTCTGCAAATTTTCAACCAAAAACATGTGGGATCAAATATGAGTTTTGATGTAGTATCCCCGAGTTCTTTGGTTTATGGTTTCAGAAGTGGGATAGCTGTTGGTGGTTTGACCAGAATAGAGTCATCAGAATGAGGCCATCCAAGCCTGGCTCTTTGATGTCATGGCCGCAGTGCATGTCTTTGCAGCCAACAGACCTGTGTTCACCTATTGGTTACTAAGAGTACTACTAAGAATTGTCTGCAAAAAAAAGGTTTCAAAAGAGGCATGCTTTGACCTGAAGCCATATGAGCCTGGCTCTTTGGTGTCATGGTCAAGGTACTGGTTTTTCCACCAAACATACTGGTTCAAATATGATTTGAGGAGTACCTCAGAATTGCGCTAATTGCTTTAAACCAAGCCATGGTAACTTAGTCAGTGACCTTCAGAATTGTTTCAAAGTGAGTGTCGTAGTACCAGCTGGTGACTAGTGAAGTGAGAAGTCATCGGGATGACACATACTGTCAGAGGCGAGCTGTAGAGGGAAATCACATCGAAAATGTCACTCAGATCTTTCGCGTCGCCTCACAAAATAAACTGCAAAAACCCCCTTTAACTCTGACCTTTTTCTGCACGTCAAATGCCAGGTATGAGACTATACGACCGTTCATTGCATTTCCATCACATTTGGCAAGGAATCCCAATGATGAAAGCAGGTGTTTCCTTGAGGAAATACCTCATGGTGGAAAGAATGTGCTTTTGTGTCTCAGGGAGAAGAATAATAAAAAAATTCCTTCAAGCTGCTGGTTCACATTTCAGGTTTTTTTTCTGCTCAAGCTGCCATCTGCACCTACTATACATGCCTCCTATTCTACTGCCCGACTTCCCATCACTGATCTTGCAGTTTTTTGGCGCTCAGCCCAGTACGATTCCATTAAACTCAGTTTCAAAAAGGAAGTCAAGTCAAAAAATGTCATTGAAATGTGGACAATTCACACCCACTAGTCTAAACCCGGCATTATGGTTAATAATGTGTTTGTGGCAGCAAAATCCACCAGTTCATGTCCATCTCAAGGGGCGGCCATGATTGGTCTTTACCTGAGCCCTTAGGAACTGTGATGTTCTTTACCTGAGCCCTTAGGTACTGTGATGTCATTATCAATCCACAACAAGTGGCAAAATGGCCATCACCTCAGATGGATAAAAGCAACCCTCCATTTATTGCAGCCATGTCGTATTTGGTGAGAGGTGGGGAACACCCTGGACTGGCCGCCAGTCAATCACAGGGTCATTGATAAACATCTCCTCCAATCAAGTCACGTACGCACAGATGCGAGCGCGAAAACAACATGAGAGAGGGCCAGGCTGGTCCACCAATATTATACACTACTAAAAGACTATAGACCATTGAGGTCCCAAGGTCACCGTGGCTACAGCAAAGACTTTATTCTCCATGTTAGGACCCATTAGCAGGATTTCGAAGCTCTCTTGACATGGTACGTTTACTACATACGGTATGTGGCTTGAATCCATATTGCCAAAAAGTGTATACTGTAACTTCGATAAACAACTTTAACTTGTTGAAGACTTGGACAAAACTCTAACACAACTCTTGTGTTGGTGTCCAAGAGGGTGTCCACTAAAATATTCTCGAAACACTAACGTTCAAAATCAACTTGGCGACATCAGAGGTGCTATTTCAAACCATTAATATGATTTTGAAGCTGTCACAATCAGTGTCAGCAAGTATGGCAACAAATTGCATATTATTCCCTCCATTAAAAAACATGACTAGGATTTTGACGCTGTCAGGATTTTTTTTTACTTTAGTTTGTTTCAAACAAGTGCTTTAACACCTTAGTGTCTGCAGTAATGAAGCAAAAACGCAGAGATGGGCATTCGATCCCGAGGATGGAACGGACCATCTATCCATCCAGGATGAACGCCCATTTTGACAGAGGATGGAGGACAATGAGTTTTTTTTTGTTTTGTTTTTTTTGTTGTTTTTTTTTTTTTAAAGGACAGACTAAGCAAGGACAGAAGATGTTTTTTGTTCGTCCCTTTGATCATCCCGAACTGGGTTAAGTATGTGGTGTCGCAATGCAAAATAGCAAGGCCAGAGTCTAGCCAATTGCTGTATTTTTTTTAACAGGCTATTCAGCACATACACGAGGTCGTATGACTCACGTAGGCACCTTTATAGAACATTCCCTTTTTATCTCAACAGTATCTCTTATGTACACTCAGAGAATATAACAAAGTACCTACGGACACGGATTTCACTACCGATCAATCCAGCCGGTTAAAAATGCTGGCTATGTTGTATGTCTCTCAAAGCCCACCAAGATTATTATGACCCTCCCCCCTCCATTTCAGGCACAGATTTCTAAAAGTAAAATTGTTATTATTATTGTTTTATTTGGTCATAAGAGCTATTTTATTGTGAAATACTAGGTTGAGTTGCTTATCACTGAAACATTAAAAGTATAGCGAAACAGTTAATGTCATTTTTGTTTGAATGATGGCCAGTGTTATCTGCAACAGCCAAACACAGCATTACTGAAAATGGGACAGAAGCGCTTTTAAAGCACGAGGACAGATGGGAACGGAAGACGATTATTTTATGAAAAAGGACGGAGGGACGATGACGGATACCCAGGTCACGGACGGACCGGCAAAATAGTGCCCATCTCTGCTAAAACGTGCTAAACAATTTCAACTTGTGACTGATTCCGTGGCACGTTTGTCCTGACACTTGTTAAACCCACTGCCATCAATCAACAGGCCACAATGGTCCACAAGAATGAGCGAGCTGCACATCTGCTGCATTAGAGTGACTTTCCAATGCCACCCGTATCCAATTGTAGGTCTGCCTTCAGCGGTTTTCGGGGTTGCAAGGAAACGAGCTTCTGCTGTCCAAAAGGGGTGAATAACACGTCAGAAATCACACAAATCGAGCCACCACTAGTACACTGTAACTTTGTGGTTGATATAGCAAATGCTCCTATTCTATTATAGATACACTCTAAGGCAAATGTCATGAATATTTTTGAAAATGAGAGTTATTTCTTGGGTAATGATTAATATACGAAAAGCCACCCTTTTGGTAAACACTTCTGAAATAATAAATTAGTTCATACTTACTTTAATTATATTACTCATAACATTGGTCAATAGCACATTTTAATCAGTGATGGTTTTATATGTCCCTAAATGTACATAGTATTTTAACACTGATTTAAAAAGTGGCTTTTTTCTTGCACATCAGATTTTTTTTTTTTTAAGTTTGACCTATAAAACCAGGTGCAATGCATATTTTATCATGCATTGCAATTTATAGCTATGACATTTCAGAAGAAACTACACCTTGTGCTAAACTTAACCCTTAATTCATAAATATGATTAAATCTAGTATACAGTATTACTATATTACATACAGGGCCGCCACAATGGGCTTTAATATGTGCCACTAGAAAGTGAATCTAAATAATTTGAATTTGTCCCGAAACCTGAATAAGTGCATCGAAAAACTGAATTTGAATTGTACAATTTGAATTTCTCACTGAAAATTCAAGTCTGTATATTTTGACATTCAGTTTTCCAAATATAAACTTGAATCATTTCCACACAGATTCAGTTCGCTTAACTTTTCACATTCAGTGTGTGGTACAAGCCATCGGGTCAGGCAGGGGTGTCAGACCCATTTTCATCACTGGCCATATTTTAGTTACCATTTCCCTTGGAGAGCCATTATGATTGAAATCAAATAAAGAAGTCAAGAATAACAATTTATTCAACTGTTGTTGGAGTTACTGTAATGGGGTATTTGGCAACAAGAAAATACTTACAATGTCTCTCTTATTTATTACATATGAGAATTTGAAATTTTCATACATATTTTAGCAACCATCATGGAAGTTGCCATGTTTGATTTGCTTTCGCAGGCCACATAAAATGGTGTGGCGGGCCTGATATGGCCCCTCGGCCTTGACTTTGACACTGGTGGGGTCAGGGAGGCATGAAAAGATGCTTCTTTTCAAATTTAGGAAGGGACTGTTTATATTTAGAAATGAATCCCCATAGTCAGAACGTCTAGATTTCCGGGTTGTGGTTTTGTCAAACCTTGTTAAGGTTTGAAAAGGCACAATGTTGATGACCCCTGTTCTGAAAACATTCAATTAAAAGAAATATTGAAAAAACTCAGCTTGTAATGCCCTGTTTTGATTGACACTGCCAAAAGGTATTATTTTAATATGCTTTGTCATGTTTGGATCTATTCAAAAGAGGCACTAGAAATGACCCACTTTTACAGATGAGAGGTGAGAGCTCAGTGCAAGGGGTTACCATAGCAACAGGAGTGCAAGAGGGAAGGAAGCGGGTGTACCTCGTCCAAAGCAGGGCAGTCTGGACGTTCCCCGGCACTTCTTCAGGCTGCTCTCCAGAGAAATGGAGCAGGAGAGCGGATGCTCGCACTTCTTTCCGGACCAGCCATCCTTGCAGTCACACCTGCCGCAGTGACACTGACCGTGACCTGGAGGAAGGGAGGGATGCTGCATCAAACACCCAAGCTAGCACCATTTATTCATATTTTTCAAACAACAAAGTTTTCAGTCACAACTGCCATGAAGATTGTTCTGAATATAAAAAACAAAAAATAAAGCAAAATCAACAAAAGTCCCCCGTGAGCTGTCACCTAACCATGGTGGAGGATTTTGTGTGTCCAAATGATCCCATGAGCTAAGTTTTCTGGGGCTGTATGCCCCTTGCAGGGTCACCCATGGCAACAGGTCCTAGATGAAGGACCAGACAAATCAGGGCTCAGAGGCCCCTGATGATGATTAAAAACATTCACCCATGATTTCCCTTGCCCGGATGAGGGTCATTGGGACCCCCTCTTTGAGCCAGGATTGGAGGTTGCGCTTGCAGGTAAGCGCCTGGTGGCCGGACCTGCACCCAGCGGAATATTCCGGTCCAACCTGGCGGATCCAAATGTATATCCAAACATGAGAGTTTGCTAGCACCTCTGGCAAAATACCCTGTCAGCAAGAGTTTCAACTCCCACCTCTAGCAGAACTTTTCCCACATCCCGGGGAGGGGAGAGACATTGAGCCAGAATGGACCATGTTCCGTGCTTCTATTGTTGAGGCAGCCAATCGGAGTTGTGGCCATAAGTCAGTTGGTGCATGTTGTGACGGAAAGTCACAAACCTGCTTGGTGGACACCGGCGGTAAGGGATACATCAAGTTGAAGAAGGGGTCAATTGAGCCTTTTTGGCCTGTAGACCTCTAGAGGCAGCTGACAGGTATCAGCTGGACAAGCTGAACGCAGCTTTGGCCGTCACTGGGGCAAAAATTCAGTTGTGGGAGGACTTTGGCGAGGCCGTGGAAAACAACTGCTGGCTGACTTTGAGGATATTTTTGTCCGCCATCCAGCATCACAGGAGGAGGAAGCAGTCCACCATTAATACTCTGTATAGTGGAGATGGGGTGCTATTGACCTCGACTCAGAACGTTGTGAATTTGTGGGGAAAATACTTTGAAAACCTAAATTCCACTGATGCACCTTCCCTTGAGGAAGGAGTCTGGGGGACTCTGAGGTGGGCTTTTCTATCTCTGGGGTTGAGGTCACCGAGGTGTTTATAAAGCTCCTGTTTGTCAAGGGCCACAGTGTGGATAAAATCCGCCCGCATTTCAAAAAGGCTCTGGATGTTGTGGGGCTAGACTAGTTGACACACATCGAGAACATTGCATGGACATTGGGGACAGTGCCTCTGGATTGGCAGACCTGGGTGGTAGTTCCCTGTTTTTCAGAAGGGAAACCAGAGGGTGTGTTCCAACTACAGATGGGTCACACTTCTCAGTCTCCCTGGTAAGGTCTATTCTGGGGGTGTAGGAGAGGAGAGTCCATCGAGAGGTCAAATCTCAGGAGGACCAGTGTGGTTTTTGTCATGGCCCGGGAACAGTGACCCAGCTCAACACCCGTGGCAGGGTCCTTGTGGGTGCATTGGAGTTTGCACAAGCAGTCTACATTTCTTTTGTGAACCTGGAGAAGGTGTTCGATCATGTCCCTTGGGGAGTTTTGTGTGGCGTGCTTCTGAGGCACGGCGTACCAAACTCCCAGATACAGGCAATTTCGTCCCCATACCACTGATGTCAGAGTTTGTTCTACATTGCCGACAGTAAGTTGAATTAATTTCTAATGATGGTTGGACTCCACCACTGCTGCCCTTTTGTCACCTATTCTGTTCATAACCTTTATGGACTGAATTTCTAGGCACATCCAAGGCGTTGAGGGGGTCCAGTTTGGTGGCCTCAGTATTACATCTCTGCTTTTTTCAGATTGTGTTTTTGTTACCTTCTTCAAACTGCGATTATCAACGGAGCTGAGTGTGAAACGGTTCGGATGAAAGCACCTCCAAATCTGAGGCCATGGTCCGCAGTCAGAAAAGGGTGAAGTACATTTGGGGAATGAGATCCTGCCCTAAGTGGAGGAATTCAAGTACACTTATTCATGAGTGAGGGCAAGATGGAGCAGGAGATCGACAGGTGAAGCGGTGGAGCGTCTGCTGTGTTGCAGATTCTGTGCTAGTGTCATGGTTGATCTGTTTGGGACCAATAGGTGGCTCTGTATGGCCCCTCCGACAGCGGCACACCTGTTGGTCATCATGTCATTAGTAGGTTCTCTGTTACAAGGACTCCCGGCCCGACCATTCAGTGTCGGGTTATTGTTTCTGTCACTGTTTCTGTCACTGCTTTTGTTGGTTTGTGCTTGTACCTTACTGCCATGGATCTTTGTATTGCTTTCCCCTTGTTTTTGCATCTGCCATGGGCTTTTGTTTGTTACTTTGGATTTTTATTGTTTTCAGGACTTAGTTTGTTCTGTATTTAGTTTCCTCAGTGTTTTGTTAATACAGTGCGTCAAGTTCACCCTGCTCCTCCCTCTTGCTTGCTTTTTGGGGGTCCTCCACCACCACCGTCTCGTGACAGCTAATCTGTGATGTTGAAGAAGGAGCTCAGCTGAAAGGCAAAGTTCTCTATTTACTTATGGTACCTATATTGCTACCCTCATCTTCAGCTGTGGGTGACAGAAAGAACAACATCTCAGATACAAGCAGACAAAATGAGTTCCCTCTGCAGGGTGTCCGGGCCCTCTCTTAGAACTAGAGTGAGAAACTCAGTCATTCGGGAAGGACTCAGAGTTGAGCCGTGACCCCTCCACACTCAGGTAACAACCAATCACCGTTTTCCTTTGTTTGCTCATGTAACGTTCACAAAACCGATCCATGATTGGTCATGACCTGCCTGATCCCTGAACAACTGTGATGTAATTTTCATTCGAGAGCAAGTGGCAAAATGTGATGGACACATTGATTTTGTGCTTAATTCATATTTCAAGCGTATTTTTCCTTGCTTGCCAATACTGAAGGGGCAAAATTGGATAATTATTGTGCAGGTGTAATTCCATTTTTTTTTTAAATCAGCCCAATATTCACCTGAGCAGAAGTCATCGGTGTATCGGTCGTAGGTGGCATGGCAGTTCCTCTCGTCACACTCGCAGGTGTTGCCATGAATATCGCCCCAGTCGCCAGAGGGATCCACATCATAACAGCTGCACTCCCCACACACACAGGTGCCTAAGACACACACATGAGACATGTATTTAATTACAGTTCCAATGAGGTTTCATTTGTTTTTTACAATTGCATGGAGGATCAACTCAAATGATCTTGGGTGGGTCGCCCAACCCTGACCCTAAGCAAATTATTGTTTTTGTTCTCAGAGATGGTACGTAATGAAGTACAACATTGCCACTGTATTTACCAGTAAGTAGATTGTTTTTTTAAGCAACTGCACCTGACTCGAGTATTTCTTTTTCCAACGACCTTTTGTTTTTACTCCCTGCATTGAAAAACAGATATCTATATTTAATATGACTGACATTGTTGAAATAGCCTTGTTTCTTTTTCAATCTGCAAATGATCACATGACATAAAAAAGATGTAAATAGTTAAGCATGGTTTTATTGATTGAGAGTTGAAGAACTTATGGAGTGATTTAATAAATACATTCTTAAAACATCAAAGTACGGAGTGTGAGTACCACCTCTGCTCCCCCTTTTAACGGTGTGTATATACTGGTGTCATTAATTGTACCATATGTGGTTGAATCACGTCGGCTCAGCAGCATCCAGAAATGATGATTGCTTGTCAGAGCATGAGCAAGGCCGAGGGAAACATGCCGGCTGGTGAGCCCTTTGGTATGTATCAGCCCATTTGGTTTGGATTGAACACCCCCATGCCCCTCACCCCAAACCCACATCCTCCATCTCATCACAACAATGATGTATGGAGTCATCATAGTCATTTACCTTCATGCCATAGGCCAAAGCCAAATACTGCACCATCCACACCTCTATTTCCACCACAGAGTTTGAGCATTAAATCTGATCATAATTGTTATTTTTCTCTGCACCACACATCTACAGTCCTCCTATAGAGATGGTTGTGAATCTCTCTGTGTATTAATGCATGCATTTAGCCCCAAGCGCCGCCACCCAGCTGCTTGCGGTTTGACAGCATGCCAGTTACGGTATTATTAGCCAGGCGATGGAGGAGCTACTCTGTCTCCTGTCAGTCAAGCTTTTCATGCAGGGGGGGTGAAGGTTACTGTGGAGTACAAAGATATTTAAAATGGTCCCCAAAAATTATATATATATATATATATATATACACACACACACACTTCTATGATATGGAGATTGATGGAATCTAGTCTGTACAATATATTTACTTAATGCTTATTACTGCAAATAACTTGTATGGCATATATTTTATTTGTGTGTTTCTTGATGAATCGTACATTTTTTTTACTGTATACAACGCAGGCTTCCGGCATTGAAGTTCCTGCACAGAAGTCAGAGAAATAAACCGTTCCCAACACGCACACTAGTTTCAAGTCAACATTGAAATGCTCAGCAGCTCTTTAATTTTAAATGAGAGGGTAAACATTGGCTCCACAAATGCCACATCTCTCAAGTCTACAGACACACATAAATCATTTGACATGCGTAACGCCACCAGTATTATTCTTTACGCTCTGAAGTGAAATCAAGGAAAGTTCTATTTTGAGTCTGCCATTTACTTATTGAAATGGATGACAACATATGGCAATAAACAGGAGTCAGGAGTCGATTACAGTGTCGGCCGCGATGTGAAGAAATATTGTTCTCAAGTGTAATTGCGTTTGATATCCATCCATCCTTGTAGATGTGTACTCCCAATTGAGCCCCTATGCTTCCCAAATACCCTCCAACCCTCCACAAGATTTGCCCGCATCCTCCTTCGAATAACCCCCATCTTGCTTCCCTGATGGCCTCCTTGACAAACCCCATTATCCTCAACCCCCCCCCCCACCCCCTCCCCAGCATTTATCCTCACGTTCCACATCTCACCTTCCCAAGATCCTCCATGAGGACTCACCGATCTTCTGCATGACGCTTCCCAAATAACTATCCTGACCCCTATCATCCCCAATACATCAGTGTATACTGTGCTGTTAGGCTTGCAAATTTTGTTTTTTTTTGGGGGGGAGTCTTCAAAATTGGAAAGTTTCCCTGCAAATTTGTAGGAATAAACAAGACTAAACCAGCAGTTTACACTTCGATATAGGTTACATTTTTGCATTCTTCTTACTAAAACAACAAAGATTTCACACAAGTGGTTACTTGACTGACGTACCCAACATACATTTTTTTTTGTTAAGAGCTGTCGATTCGTTGAAACTTTGTATATGCGCCTTTCAAGTCAAGAGGGAAAAAAGGTACATTTCCATGGAAACATTTACATTTTTTTAAATACTTCCCCAATTTCCCATCTTCCCTGCAAATGCAAGTACAGTCCTGTTCTAGATCTGTGCAACCCTACAAACCTGACTGTTTCCGCTTTCCTTTTCATTCATTTTATACAAAGAGCTTCAAGAAAATATGGAAAATTCAAATGTGAATCTAAATCGAAATGTTCTTATCATTTCCTCGTTGTTCTTTGCGCTGGTAAATTCTATCCGACCTTTGCCCTCTGTCTCTGCTGCAACGTTCTCCTCCGTGAACACAGTCAGTGTTGTCACTTGTTAAATTAAGCGAAAATGGGAAATCTGCAAAGGCGTCCTATCGCAGAGCGCCATGACTAATTGTAAAAAGAGACAAGCCAAATTAAAAAAAGTTCTGCTGGAATCATAGAATTCTCACCAAAGGACCTTTTGTGGTCTTTCAAGAAACTCCTTGTTCTTTTTAGTGCATGGTTGCATTATTATTCCACTTGATGGAATTCTCTCTTCACGTGCCGCAATGGATCTTCATCTTCAATTAGTTCAGAACACCGCCGCTCGTCCTTTGTCTGGATCCCATAGATTCAACCACATCACTCCTGTTCTGTCATTTTTGCGCTGACTCCGTATTAATTTTAGGCTTCATTACAAAATTTGAACAGTCACTTAGATGGCCCTCAACGGTCAGGATCCTCCATATTTTTCGGATCTGGTGTCTGTTTCATGTCCTATTGAATTCACTGTGAGAGCCATGTCGAACGTCATTCCCGAATTGTGGAACACATTTTCCATTTAACAAACAGCTGCTTCCAATGTACTTTTCAAAAGCACACTTGTTAGTTTGTGTTCTTTTATTAACATGCATTTAATTGTACGATCATCCGAGACCTAACCGCTGGCAGTTAAGAGCCTCTGTCGGAGTACGTCGGTGGTTATGTATCTGAGAGCAGTGAGCTTGTCTGCTCTCGGCCTTCAGCCAGTGTCTCTTGTTTAACAATTCATGCCCCCTTTGATATTGTGCCACATTAGCTCGTGGTTAGTTTTTCGTTTTTGCATTTGTTTTCAGTTTTCAGATGGGGCGGCGCGGTGGCCGACTGGTTAGCACGCCGGCCTCACAGTACAGAGGTGCCTTCCTGTGTGGAGTTTGTATTTTCTCCCCATGCCTGCGTGGGTTTTCTCTGGGTACTCCGGTTTCCGCCCACAGTCCAAAAAACATGCATAGCAGGTTAATGGAACACTCTAAATTGTCCCTAGGTGTGAGTGTGAGCACAGCTGGTTGTACATCTAAATGTGTCCTGCGATTGTCTGGCAACCAGTTCAGGGTGCCCCTCGCCTCCTGCATGATGACAGCTTGTATAAGGTCCACCCCGCGATACTTGTGAGGATAAGCAGATCAGAAACTGGATGGATGGATAGTTTTCGGATAGATCCTTAGTTTGTGTGACAGCAAGACCCATTTCCTTGTCCTTTTTGTTTCAATCGTAAATTGCATTTTTATTTTTTTGGGTGGTTTGATTTGTTTTGGGGTTGTTTTTTTTTTTTATGACATCAAAGTGAAAATGACATGTTCATTTCAAGAGGAGTGCAAACATTATTTTATTATATTACTAATTAATTGCTATTTGTTACCGTATCTAGTGCCTGTTCACATTCAAAAATAATTTAAGTCTGTTGTAAATACAGTAACATTTTCGTTTAAAATATAATATAATTAAATGCGTATTTCTTTCTTTTTTTTTTTTCGAAACATCCCAATTCTGTTGTTTCCCTGTGCCTTCAAAGTGGATGAACAGACCTCGGTTGCTGCAGATTTTGCCGTCTGGAGATGAGCATCTGCGTTTGCTTTCCCATGGGCTGATGTCACACTGGAATTCACATTTGTCTCCATGCCAACCAGCAGCACAGTAACAGTTTCCACAGTAACACTGGCCGTGGCCTGGAAGCACAGTGCAACATGCAACAACCTGAGGTCGATCCGATTGTGGGCTGTTCACTCAACTACAAAATGTCAATATTTTTAAAGACACTTCAGATGATCTTGACTTTTGATCTTTAAATCACAACTTTAGTGTTATACTGCAATGATATGAATGTTACAATATTTGTCCAGATGGGAGCTTTGGCACACACTGTACCTCCACACACTTCACCAGTCTCCTCATCCAGACACTCGCTGTCGTCACACTCGCAGAAGGGTCCCGTCACCAGGCCTTTGTGGTCTTCATTTTTGCACATGCAGCTACCGCAGTGGCAAGTCCCTTTCGCCAAAAATGTTAGTTTAAATTTAAGTTCATTTCACAGAAGGAGTAAAGGAGAAAATACAAACAGCCATTTGAATGTATATGCGCAATAAATTAGCAGGTGCACTACATTTTTTACAACACACAATTGCAACCATAACAGCTATATTTTTCCATACATTCAAAATTGCTTTTTTTTATGCTCAATTTGACTTGATTCACCAACGCAAACTTGGAGGATATACTAGTCCAAATAATTTTCCCAAATTACTGCATTTTCCCCCAAATAATAATTTATCTTATTATTTTCTTGACATTCATTATAATCATTAAAAAGAAAAAGCCCAAATGTTGTCATTGTCAATTTCCACAAATTAGGGCATTAGGGCATCTTTTGTCTTTCATTCTACTAAATTGTTACCAGGAGGTTTGTGGAAAAAAACAAACAAAAAAATCAATAATCACAACAATAAAAATGCAATTTTAAAAAATAATTAAAAAGGAGAATGAATATTGCATTAACACTGTAATAAGTATTTATCTGCTGAGTCATTTGGAGATAAACACGGCAATCAATTGCTGATCAATGATTAACTCCTCAACATTCTAGCTTAATATTAAACATGGATGAATAATTGACGCCTTAATGCAACAGTGTACCTCTGTTGGAGCATACCACCCCCTGTGGGTTTCTGCACTTCTCCCTGCTCTTTTTTCCAGAAAGGTTACACTCCTCTTGAAATTGGCAGGCCTCTCCAAACCAGCCGTCATCACACTCACACTTCCCGCAGTCGCAGTAGCCGTGATCTGAAGGGAAACACCAGACACTGCATGCTGTTTATTAACGCTGAAATTCTGTGGTTAAAAATGGAGCGCAAAGCCCAGGATACATGGGGGGGTAGGGGGTGTTATTGTGGATTTGCGGGAGGCGGTCGATGTGTTTCCTTCTGAAGCACATTATTAGAATGTAAATATTATTAACTCTGACATTTTATGTCAGTCTCCATGAACCAGGAAGTAGACTGCTATTGAACAGATGACACATTAATCAATACTGAAACGTTTAGTTTTTTGGGGTTTTTTTTTTTTTTTTTTGCTTTACTATTACTTAATTTAGATTTTACTTTTGATTGTGGATTGTTTTTGTTGCTTTGGCGATCAAGTCACAACGAAACCTTTGGTCGCATCCAGTGTGTCTATTCTTTGTTTTCTACATTGTTGTTGACGAACAAGAAAATATCCTACTGTACTAACACACAAACAAACTGCTCCATGAGCTTTTCACCTTTGTTAGAGAAACAAATTTTTTATTTTTGCTGCACGAGTCACCATAGAACTGCTCCCCACCACCCTAGAATGGCAGGTGGTGTCATCATCTCTGTGCATTCCGAATGTCATCCTCCATGAAGAAGAAAGAAGCCTGATAACTATCAAATGGAAAAACAAACACAATTGGTGCAGCAGAATTGTTTTGACTTTTTCAAGAGGAATGTTTTCTCTCTATTTGCCATTCTAGTCATGATGGAACCAGTCCACCCGCCACAGAATGCAAATAGCCTAGTCTGTCCTACTTACATCGGAAAATCGCTTTTCGTGAACCAAGAAATAGCCTACGAACAGACAAACCAACTCATGAAGATCACACCATGATTATTTCACGTTTGTGAAGGAAAATTATTTCAAATCACAATGGAACCATTCCTTCTGGCTTAGAATGAAAATTGTACAGTCGTGTGTCCATTCCAAACATCGTTCGACATCCAGCAGTAAATAGTCTGATAATTATCAAATGGACATAATGCAAGAACGACACTCTACAATACTTTGGGGTCGGGGGGGTGGGGGGGTGTCTATAAAAAGAACTGTTCTAAACTGTCCGTTCTCAACATCCTATGTTGTACTTTGCAAAACAAGAAAAAGCCTACTCACTGACATAGGCTGCTTTTCACTTTTATTAGAGGAATTCATTGCGATGAGGTGAACCAGTCTCGGGTGTACTCTGCCTCTGGCCCATCTCACATGAGATCAGCGCAAGCTCACCGGTGACCCAAATGTGAACAAACAGTCCAGACAATTACTGGATGATTAGAGAAACTCCTTATCTCTTTCCGATGATATGGGTAAGTCACATCGGGACTCTTCTCCCCACCCCAGTATGCAAATGATTCCATCCATCATTCATCATGATCCAGAACGCAGATAGATTGACAGACATACAATACAATATTAATACTAAAACACCTCATTGTTCAATCATTTCATTTTCATTCAACATATTTTCTTTCTGCCCCTCGAGTCATGACCAGCCCCAAAGCCAGACTGCAAATGAGTCCCGTTCATCATTTCTCAATATCTTAAGTCATTCTCCAGGCGGCAGAAAGTAGCCTGCTAACAGGTAAACCATCTTGAAAGCATCGGTCCACAAAGTTAGTGGAATTTTTTTTCAGAGCTTGAGTGCCAATCAACAAATACCTCCACCCAAGAGTGCGAATAGTGCTTCCAGTCATCTATTCCTAATGTCCTACTGTCATTCTCCATTAACCAAAAAGTAGCCTTTTAACCCTCCCCCCCCCCAAAAAAAAAAAAAATTTCTCCACTTCTTTTGGAGGAATACTTCTTTTTGTCACTCAAGTCACTGTCAAATACCCTGTGCCATATAGAAGAAAAAGGAAAACGGTTCAGGGTCTGACATCAAAGGTCCCGATGGCCGTGGGCCATTGCGTGACTGTGACCTGCCACTCAAAGTTCACTGATGGTGACCCGAACAATGAACTCACCATATTGTTGCTTCTTAAATATTTAATATTTTGAGTTTTATTTCTTAAAAGTGATCAATCATCATTGATCTTTTAACTGTGTGGCACACTTTTTTGTGCACATTAAATCCTTCCATAAGGAATGACTTGAACGAGATGCCAGAAAAAAAAATCTATACATTGCCACATTCACAACCAGCTACTGTTGTAGTATTTGTTTTTTATAAGAGTTTTTGCATGATTCATGGAAGTGCTGTGTGCGTTTAGCCCACTCAGACTACATACCTCACTATTTCATCCACACAATTAAATTACAATATCTATATACTGGGGTGTGAAGAATGCGGATATTTTTTTTAAATGGTTGCCCCCATCTACCGATTCTACCCCAATCATGGACGTGCTGCATATTACGCGTTTGCATGAATTTTGGCCACTGAGACTACGCACTTCACTATTTTATCCACAGATACACTTGAACCTCCATGAATCAATTTTGCAAATCTTGGTTTTTGGGATGTCAAATGTTAACTATTCAGTTAGTTTTCACACTGCTAAAAAAAAACAAAAAAAAAAAAACTTAATACTCAAAAAAGTAACTACACAGAAGTATTATTTTATGAAAGACTTAAATAATGCAATATTAAGATGCCAAATATGAAATTGATGATTGAAACTTAGATTTTATCACGAATATACACGTATGGTGCCACTTCTGTCAGGGCAACCACAACATGGCTCACGTGGCCAAAACCCAAAAAGGGCTTAATATTGGACCCTGCAGACGGAATCTCCTGAGGCCAACCAGTCAGTGCAGTATAAATGTTGCTCGGTTTGTATGTGGCGACGAGGGACCCTGTATGTCACAATCATCCTACGGATTCATTCATCATGTAAATTCGGTGTCCTTCTCAAGGGCTGTCCATCAGTCATTAGCAGTCCTGTCGGCCATCTATCCTCATTATCACCACGTACACCTTTGAGAATCTGACAAATGAAAGTAGAGCCCTAAAGCATTACACTATCAACAAGAAAATTTGCATTTGTGCATGTAATCCCTAACACACGTTGAGCGTGAGTAATTGTTTGATCTAAACCTTAGACCAGTAGTTTTGCCTCACATCAAAGCTGGCTATCGCCTGGACTTTTAAATGGATAAACATTGAAATGCTAAAATTTATAGAATGAGTCAACTGAAAAAATAGTGTGCACAATAATCCTCATTTTACAAAATTTGGTGTACTGTTTTGGAAGTGGTTGTATTCTGTCAATGCCTTCTGTCCTTTCTTGTCTTTTTGAGGCATCCTACCCAGGTTACCTTTTTGTTTAGGTGACACAAATCGTGCCTTGACAGGGTCAACTGCATGTGAGCCGAGAAGCCGAATTAAAAAAAAAAAAGTGCCATACTTAACGTGTGAAATTAGAAAGTGACGTCCACCCTCCTGCATGTATTTGTATGGCCTCAACCAGTAGTCTGCCATAAACGGGAGTGTGGCAACCACTTAATCTCCTTTGGAAGTTTATATGTGGAAACGTCGTGTCGTGTTCACACTTTATCGTTCCCAGTAATTCACTCTGTCTTTGGGATGTCGCTTCCCACGCTACAACACGCACACACACACACACACACACACACACACACACACACACACACACACACTCTCACACACACACACACACACACACACACACACACACACACACACACACACACACACACACAGTTAGTCAGCCAATCAGGTTTGCACAATCCCTGGTTACAACCAATTGGGGCCAGAGGTGCCAAGGAGAAGTCGGTGACTCATACAATCTAATTTAATGACAAAAAACAACTTTACAAGAATGGCACTCAGGCCTGTGCCAGACCTCTGTAAAGGCTGAACAATGGTAATGTAATGCATGCAACACTATCATATAGTTTATATTATAAAAAGCAGTGTGAACATTGAATTCCTCTAATGCAGTTAGAATGAATTAAAATAGATGATGACAAATATTCACAAACAGTCCTGTATGTATTCACGCAGTTATTGGTATTCACACCAAAATAATGTATTTTCCGCACTATAAGGTGCACCTAAAAGCATTCCATTTTCTCAAAAGCCGACAGTGCGCCTTATAATCCGATGCGCCTTATATATGATATGGTGTGACAGTCTCTATATTCTCCATTGAGTTCTTTCCCTGTTAGTATTCTTATCCCATCTAGTGGTGATTATTAGCAGGAACCAATTGTAACCTTAAAGGGCTCTGCCCAACACTAATTGACATGTGCATTCGCCAACACACTCGAACAGACAACTACTTTGTGAGCTCTGCGCAGCCATTATGAAACCAAAATAATATCAAAAGCTTAGTTAACTAATGACTAAACGAAGGAAGAAGGAGACAAGTAAGACATCTAAGGATATTTAGCCCCTTGTCAATGTGCCACGAGGTTTGTGTGCCCTTTTGTTGAATCAATTGTCTTCATAACTTTTGTCTTTCATTTATTGTTTTGCCATATGTATTTATGCCAAGGAATGAACCCTGTAGTTTTATGGACTTTGCATCGTGCCTCATGCTACACCCTGAGGGAGCGTCATATGGATCAATATTCTGATTTCTTGGACGTAGTATTTTAAATGTTCTGTAAAGCGCTTTGTTACAGGTGCAGCGGTTATGAAGGCCCTATATAAATAAAGCTGTATTGTATTGTATTGTATTCCTTTTAGCGTAGCTCTATCTCGTGGATGCATAATGCAACTTAGGCCACTATTCTATGCGCCTTATAAATCGGCGCACCCTATATATGAAAACAGTTTTAAAATAGGCCATTCATTGAAGGTGCACCTTATCATGCGGAAAATATGGTATCTATTGAGTACAGCTCACAAAGCACTGGACATTTTTTTAATTCCCCGTAACTAACATAACAATTGCTGGGAACCCTTCCTTGTCAGAATACTGTTCCATACCTGTTGGAATCTTTGAACCTCACCAAAACTTAATAACTCTTCTTTAGCTTTTGCAAAACACCCTTTACAACTAACCGTTAAGCTGTTTCTGTCC